ATTGGCTAGTATGTGCATGAAATGAGTGCAGATAAAGCAAGCTGTATGTACTGAAGATGATTGTAGGGGGTAAGAAGGCAGTCAGTATGTAAAAGGACAGAGTTTGTCCTGGGGGAGGGGGGAGGCTTATCCACCATCCGGACTATGCTGGCCAGCAGTATGTGTGGGAGAGAAAAGGGAAGGATATGAACAAGGGAAATATATGCAGGAGAAGAGTATGGAGGGTTTGACTGTAATTAGTGTGTGCAGGAATTAAGTGGGAAGAGTAGAACGTTGAGTGTGCAGAGATCAGTCCGAAAGGTATGACATAAGGTAGTATGGGGATAGGAGGAGGAGTGTGAGGGTTTATCGGTGGGTAGTACACACAGGACAGGGGGTCTAGATCTTTAATATCCATAATCTATATTATCTGTCATATTGAGCAAAATTACACCTTAAAATAATTGAACTAAAAAGTCAGGCACAATATATAGGAGTTAGATGTTTTGGAATGAAAAGCCTATCTAGCCTCACTTTTGTGAGCAGAAGACTACACAGTTAAATGCATAGTCTGCCTCTACACTGTTGAAAAAAATTAAAGGAACACTTTTTAATCAGAGTATAACATCAAGTTAATGAAACTCCTGGGATATCGATCTGGTCAGTTAGGTAGCAGAGGGGGTTGTTAATCAGTTTCAGTGTTACCAAAGTAACACTTTGGTGTTAATGAAATTAATAACAGGTGCACTAGATTGGCAACTATGAGACAACCCCCAAAGCAGGAATGGCTTTACAGGTGGAGGCCACTGAAATGTTTTTCCCTACTCATCTTTTCTGACTGTTTTTCACTAGTTTTGCATTTGGCTAGGGTCAGTGTCACTACTGGTAGCATGATGCGATACCTGGATGCTATAGAGGTTGCACAGGCAGTCCAACTCCTCCATAATGGCACATCAATGCGTGCCATTGCCAGAAGGTTTGCTGTGTCTCCCTGCACAGTCTCAAGTGCATGGAGGAGATTCCAGGAGACAGGCAGTTACTCTAGGAGAGCTGGACAGGGCTGTAGAAGGTCCAGTATCTGCTCCTTTGTGCAAGGAGGAACAGGATGAGCACTGTCAGAGCCCTACAAAAAGACCTCCAGCAGGCCACTGGTGTGAATGTCTCTGACCAATCAGAAACAGACTTCATGAGGGTGGCCTGAGTGCCCGATGTCCTCTAGTGGGCCGTGTCCTCACTGCCCGGCACCATAGAGCTCGAATGGCATTTGCCACTGAACACCAGACCTAAATCCAGTAGAACACCTCTGGGATATCATGTTTCAGTTCATCCAAGGCTGTCAGGTTGCACCTCAGACTGTCCAGGAGCTCAGTGATGCCCTGGGAGGAGATACCCCAGGATACCATCTGTCGTCTCATTAAGAGCAGGCCCTGACATTCTCAGGCATGCATACAAGCACGTGGGGGCCACACAAATGAGTACCATTTTGAGTTGCTGCAATGAAATTTTAGTAAACTTGACTAGCCTGCTGCATCATTTTTTCACTTTGATTTTCGGGGTGTCTTTGAATTCAGTCCCCTGTAGGTTGATCATTTTCATTTACACCAAATGATGGGGCATCCTTAGGAGCTGATGTGTTTTCAAAGTGCTCCTTTAATTTTTTTGAGCAATGTATACAACAGCTCATACAAAGAGCCCCAGTAAATTACATTACACTGTCTTTTTGCAAAATACAGAGTAATGTGCTTAGCATACCATTAGACCTCTGTTGGCACCCCTGAAGCCTGTTCCATGTACTCTCAATAACCACTTGTCCGTAATAGCTTCCAGGATACAGCAGTGCTTCGTCATGGCAGCGCACACCTCTTATTCAAAAGTGGGTGCATGCTCAGTGCATTTTTGAAGAGGCGTGCACTTCCATGACGCTGAGAATGAGTATATTGGGCAGGCTCTGGAGGCCCCACCATCGACCTACTAGTATACCAAGCACATTAAACTGTGTTTTGCAAAAAGGCACGTGCAATGTAATATACTGGGGCCGCATGTCTGTGTGGGCCATTTTACTCAAAGCGTACTATGCCTTTAAAAACCATCACTACACCATTTGACGTCTCCCAGAAAATGATGGGAAACCAATAACTATTTTAGTGGAACAGTAGGTTATCAACCATTTCTTTAAGCCTCAACCCTTGCTGGGTTACAAAATAGTTACCTTGCTTAATATCTGACCAACATGGTTTCCAAAACGAATGGATTGTGACCATGAAAAGGTTATTTTTGGTACTCTATATCACTTTTGTGCAAGACTGCGAATTCAATAGGTGCATAATAGTGGAGACCCAAAGCTGGTCACATGCACTATATGTTGTGTAGAGATTTACCAACAACTAGTAGTACAATGACCTTCCCAAGCAACCCATTCAATTTACATCAGGTATACTCATACATACAGAGCAAAGGAAGATTGCACAGATTGAAATGTGTGCGGCCAGCTTATGTCAATACCCAGATGTGCAAAAAACTGCATATTATATATTTTATAAAATGTGTTTATTTTTCTGTTTCATGTTCAAACTCCTTCATGACTGTACAGCTTTTAGTCTTGTGTGACTGATGTTTTGTTCATGAGGTTCTGCCCTTTTTTTGTTTTTAAATAAAATTGAATTGGTTGTCTGATGCACTGCTTCACCACAGATAAAGGTAAAAACGGACCTTCAAGAAACACTACAGGTATATTCATAAAGCAGTGAATGTGACATCCACCAAACATTACTGCAGGTGGAGAAGAATATGAACAATCCTCAGCCTGAAACTCCTCCTAAGCCACACCAGTCTAATGCATTTTGCCCCACCATGGCTTATGCAGGCCATACAAGGGTCAAATTCTGAAAGAATTTCTTTTTTTTTTTTTAAATTGCAACTAAGAATTTTCTTTCGAAAATCGCACCATTAGTGGGCCGCAGCATTGGCTGATTTACAAGCGGCCATCAAATTTGAGTGATCGGGCATGTTGGAAATTTTTTTTAAAACAAATGAATTTCTAATCAATGATGGGAGAACTGTGCAAAAAATATAATCGAAAAAGAAATGAGCATGTGCTGTGACCTGGAAAGAAAAGAATGTTCCCAGCCACAAAAATTATTTCCGTAGCAACAGGAGGTGAAATTGAAGGCTTGGTTGGTCGAATTTCGAAATCATCGCATTACAAAACGCACAAAATTTCAGATTCTCTAAACTTCGTTCAGAATTTGACCCATGTATGGCCTGCATTAATCATATGATGTACGATTAAGCCCCCCCCTGTGGGTGGAGAGAAGCTGCAGTGCATTCTGGATCAAGACAGCCTGCACCTTTACATTGCTGTAAGATACTGGATTTATGTTTTAGCAGGAGAGCATCTTGAGCGGCAGTATAAGTGGTTACAAGGTTTTGTGATTACTGCCGATTACTGTATTTTCTTGATGTATTCCTAGTTATTGTAAGAGAAGAAAACGGGAAGTGAAATGGCCTTTTAGGGCCTATTCACACTGATCTACAGCCAAAACTGCTGTTGCCCGCACATGAGAAATTAGAATTGTTTGTGTGTTATCAGCTTATCACATTGTGATTGTCTATTGCTGTGACTTTAGTTGATGATCGGACCACATTTTATGGTGAATTTTGCACCCCTACATTGCTATGAGATACTGGATTTTTTTTTTTAGCAGGAGAGCATCTTAAGTGGCAGTATAAGTGGTTACAAGGTGTTAGGATTACTGCCGATTACTGTCTTTTCCTGGTGTATTCCTAGTTATTGTAAGAGAAGAAAACGGGAAGTGAAATGGCCTTTTAGGGCCTATTCACACTGATCTACAGCCCAAACTGCTGTTGCCCACACATGAGAAATTAGAATTGTTTGTGTGTTATCAGCTTATCACATTGTGATTGTCTGTTGCTGTGACTTTAGTTGACGATCAGATCAAATTTTATAGTAAATTTCTTTAGAAAACCAGTTAATTCCAAGGAGTTCATATACTTTTTCTGGATGCAAAATGAGGTTTTCCCCATTTCGAATGAATAACACAAAACCAACAATATTAAATGGTTGGATCCAGACTCCTTTATTAACACACGAGCACAGTCTGTACAGTGTTGTGCTTTCAGAACAGTACTAAACATGAAAAAACAAAAAAAAAAAAAAAAAAGTAAAGAAAGCTTTGTAGCAGGTAATGAAACGATGGGCACAAGGAGTCAAATAGGTGAGCAACAGAATAAAAAAGTAATCTGTGTGCACAACCTTCCCTCTTACTCCATCAACCTACCAGCAGGAGCTTATGATCCAAGAACAAGGCATGTCACCCCCCCCCCACATCCAGGGAATAAATAGGAGCACAGAGCAACTTAATATGGAGGGGAGGAGAGTGCTACAGAGGAAAATATGCCTACCTGCCCTGTGGGGTTGCGCAGGGGTACTTAGGGTTAATTATTGCCATAAGTTTCTATTTCTGTTTCCTCAAAAGAAAAAAAAAAAAAAAAGCTGCAGGAACAAGTTACAAAGATAACTACAACAAGAAATCCTCTCTGCATCCTCCAATCCGAACGCAAAAGGCAGTCGGCACAGGCTGGTCAAAAAAAAAAAAAAAAAAAAAATGTTATATTTATATATATATTTTTAAAAAATCCATCCAGTAACACTGATGGAGCCAGGCTGTGGCCCCTGGCTCTGATGCATGAGTTCTGCTCAATCTACAGGGGTAACTGAATGTCCCATGTACTTGTCAAACAAAGCAGAGAGATGCCAGCAATGCTGGTTTATTAGAATATATAGAAAAAGAATAACTGAAAGGTGGGGGAGTGACAGCCTGTCTCCCACCCCCAAAATTTTCAAATGGCGGTAAAGTGTGGGGGGAAACAGGCAGGGTCTGAGCGTGGCTCCAGCAGGGGCAGAAGCCTCAGCCATAACTACAATACTTTGCTGTTAAACGGCTGTGTCACATATTTTTTTCTCTTGATCACGTGTTCTGGGCACGTGTGAAAGACAGAATTTATTGAGCACTTTCGCCAAAACCACCTCCTTCTTCATCATCTTCTTCTTCCATCACAGGGTCAGAGTCCCAACATGTAATATCAATTTCTGAAAAACATGAAATACAGGCTCATGATTACAGCTGCAAATGATTAACGGTATAGTTATCAAGACCCTGATTCATCAAACTGTGACACCCTCTGGGTGATCTATAATGTGTACATTGCAAGGATTTTAACTTCGTTGCAGATTCCTACCTTTTGTCATTTTAGAGAAATAGTTGTTTGTGTTCATGTGGAAAGTGAATTTGCATGGGAGTGGATGTATAATTATCAATCAGCTGCTGCAACTCTCTAATAAGGAAAGCTGCAAGGTCTGCATCTCTTTCAGCAGGCCATAAATGTGTCAAAAAATGAACGAAATTCGTGTTGATCACTGAACCTTTCGTTTTTCGCATCATTAGCGTGCAAACTGCGACACGTGATTTTCGTGCCACAATCGGAAGTGCCTAACCCAACATGCTGAGTTTTTTTTTTTCAGAAATTTTAATAAAATGATGGCACAATCCGGCCTGTTTTTCAATCAACAGAACTTCCTTTTTTTCCAACTCACTTATGGCCTGCTTTAGATGTGATTTCCCTTTGGGAGTGCAAGTGTACAATCCAAACGCACACATTCCTGCGTTGAAAATGGCTGTGTGTGTAAGTGGGTGCTGCAGCGTCCGTCGGCTGGAACCGAACAGAATCGGCAAGGGAGAATGTCACCAGCACACCAATATGGGTCCAAGAGTTTTAATAAACGATCACATAGTTACAGCAAGGCAACGTTTCGTAGAGTGCCTGATGTAGGGGTCCTGCAAGACTCCGAAACGTTGCCTTGCTGTAATTATGTGATCGTTTATTAAAACTCCTGGGCCCATATTGGTGATCCTCGGTGTGCTGGTGACATTCTCCCTTCCCTTTGGGAGTAACTCACCAAATATTTAATTTTATTGCAGGGGATGCCAAAAAAGTTTGATTTGTATCTTAGTGCAGACTTCTGAAAAAAATCAGTGAGCCAATCACACAAACAGGAAATGACATATCTTGGGGGCCATCTGTGTACAGAACACCTCCAGGTAGCCATACTACATTGTATTTTACAGATTGAAAATGAAAGGTCATTTTTAATAACATTCAATTACAAAATAACTTGTGCAGCAATTGTACACGCTATATATTTTTTCTTTACCATAAAAGTGGAGTTACCCTTTAAAGCACGATAAACTGGCCTCCTAAACATTGTCACATGAGAATTCTGCCAGAAAATTCAACCTAAGTGCCCTTGCAGCTTAATGGATCAGGTCCAACATGTCAGATAGGAACTGTCTGTATAACTCCATCTGTACAGTGAAATGACAGCTGTAAAGTGAAAGTGTGAAACTGACTGGATCCAGAACAGCAAATTTTTATTTAAGAAAAAAAAAACGTAAGAACTCATTTTTGGACAAAGCCAGACACCAAAATGTGTGCCAGGGGACTTTCACAAAGCCACTCCTGTCGTTTTTAAATGCATAGAAAATATTGCTACTCTTTGCCCCTCTCAATATATGTACCAGTGAAGAAGCCTAACTGATGTACAAATCAAAGGCCATCTAGAATATATTCTAGCAGCCAATAAACCCTCACCTTGCAGCACAAAAACACATACACATTAAAAAGGAAATGAATACGCGTAAAAATCTCCAGAAAGTCAATTTGGGAAAAAAAAAAAACGGAGAAAATGTCACATTTGGATTCTTAAATAACAACTGTACTTTCATATAAAGAACACTTATCCTGCCTAGCACCTTGATTCGCATACCTTCCTTTGCTCCAGACACATACTTATCTGAATTCACAACTTCAGCTTTTCTACAGGTTTACAGCTGAAATTTTCATGCTGCTGCCTGTTCTGTAGGTCCTCATAGATGTCTATGGGGCCGGCTCCTGCTGGCTGTAAACACTAGGCAAATATGCCTCTGGGGCATAAAAGGATGGTAAGGAAATGATCAGTAGTTAAATCCTCATGTCTGTGGCTTTAAAAAGACATCAGCAGCCAACTGGTCAAAAAAGAGATTGGCCGAACTGATTTATTTTCAGCCTTCCTCTATAACTTTCCTGATAAAAAAAGACTGAAGCTCCTGGTGTCCAGGAACTCTTGCCCCTTCCTACTCCATTCGTATAAATACCTTAAGTGATTTAAATGCAAACATGTAAAAAGTGATCTTCTAGTAAAAAGATTTGTCAGTGGTTCATGTTCCCCTGATGCACATACAATCTAAAAGTCTATAGTCCGCTTTAGAATCTTTAGAATAACTGACCCCTGTATATCACGGATATAGATATTACCTGGTGGCTTGTTGTAAAAGACTGGTGCAGTAGCTTTTGCTGACACATCATCTGTCTGAGCAAAGTCTTCATCTTGGGATTGGCTGAAATATCCTTCACTTGCCTAAAGAATAAGAAAACAAACAAAAAAAAAAAAACATTTAATACAGAAGTATTAGTACCATATTATAAAATTAGTATTCATTGTGTGTCAACGACGCAAACATTTTGAAAGTAGTTCATGCACTATTTTTTGCAGTTTCAAGTGCAACTTGCATAGACATCTGTGCATGAAGTCTCACAGATGTCTGCCAAGTTGCACTTGAAGCCACACTGACAAGTGACTTTGAAATCATGCGACTTCACTTGAAGTTGCACAATTTCAAAGTCGGATCCAGTGTGAACCAGGGCTTAAAGTGGTTGTAAACCTCAGACATGAAATATGAACAAAGCATATCCCTCTATAACATGTTTCAATTAAAACCACCAAGTGTCATTTCTGTCTGCTGCTTCGTTCCTCTGATATCAGCATGAATCCCTTCTGACAAGTTTTCCTGACACCAAGAGAAAAATGGTGACAGGGGAGGGACCTCCAGCAGATTGACAGCCTCAGACCTGTTCTTATGAGTTGTGTGGAGGGAGGCTCCAATTAGCTCTCAGATCTCTCCTCACTAACCTCTGCAGTGTGTAATCTCAGCTCTCTTCCCCCTTTTTTTGAACGGTCAGTCAAGCTTTATAAATTCTGCACTTTAAGCGGATATAGAACCGCAGATAAACAGGTACAACTTATGCAGGTGGATTTGTTTCATTTCTGTGTGTCACCTGAGGCCAATCACTTCTCTGGGTATATAGTCACAACCACGTTAACTGTTAACCAGTAACAGAAAACTTGTGTACTTTAAATCGGCCATACAAGGCAAGAATAGCCCATGCAAGCAATTTTCTCAACAATGAAATATGAAGTTATCAGATTAAATTACATCAGACACCGTCTCTATGAGCTTTATCTGCCCCCCCCCCCCCCCATTTGTGCGAGTTCCGACTTGGTGTGTGACTTTCATAATATAAAAGAAGCCGTACTGATAGATATAATGTCTACCCCACACTGTTTAAGTGCCTGTATGACTTTACTAGGAACCTAAGACTAACGGAATGTCATTTTTCACATGATTGTCATGTTGACTGTCATATGCCTTTAAATGTTTTCAGTGTTTTGTCTCTGCTCCTCCCATTCCTTTAGTTTAGCTAATGTTGCATAGATAGCCCTCCCCCTCTCCCAGAGATGCATTGCAGTAAGCCTCATGGCATGGAGCAGGAAACAGCATGGAATTTCATTGTTGTAAGATTCTCTCAGTTTATGGAATAAACTTCACAAGATCAACAAGATGTCATTCTCATTGAGTCACTGACTGTGGTATCCATCAGAGGTTGAAGTTATCGCTATCTCATCACAACTGTAAGTTACAGAGATCACACTATCCTATTAATGCTTAGATTGGAGCTATCAGAACATGGAAGGAATGATGCCATTGGTGAGTACATATTCTGGAAAGCGCTCTATAATAGACTGGCACTGAATTAATATACAAAACACCAAATAATATAAAGTGATATCCCTTCACTTCTAATATAATCCTGCATGGCCTATCGTAGTAAACTGATTTGTATCCCTGCGCAAGCTCATTGAGAAGACTTTAAAAACAAGCATGTTAAACTGGACATGTGATGCAGTCATTTTGCATCCATCTATTTTTTCCTGGGGCATCATAGGTGCAGAACAGCCTAGTGCCTTTCCACATCAGGTGGTGTTTTTTCAGTGGTGCCTACATCTCCCTTGAGACTCATGAAACATCGGTCGGATACTGACAGTCATGTAGGCTCAGATAAACATAACGGGGGCAGCAGGCTCACAGGACCTTTATTTATAGTGTTGATGTGCACAACAAAAACAGGGTAATAAAAAAAACCTACCTCACAAATACTGATTAATAAGTGATAAATCACTCAACAGCCTACTTTTAGTAAGCACATACCGGTATTTAGAGTTATTACTTTGATGTTTACGGAGCAGACCTTTAAGTGCACTTAGCAAATCCACCCTCCTATCCACCTCCACCCTAACTAAATATAAGTACATAGCTCAGATGCACAAAAAAGTGACTTTTACCTACTTCGTGATGTAGTAGGAGAAGCTAAAAACAATAGTTGTCTCTGTATTTTGCCAAGAGAGGGAATAGCAATTTTTCTTTATGGCATTTTGGATTTAAAAAACTACTTCTTACTGAACATCTTCGTTATGTTATTACATGCAAAAGGCTGCTGCAGATATGGAGGTGAGGACATTGTTTGCAAATTATGGAAGTATTGTTACCCTTTAAAAAAGTAAATCTATGTCCACAGTAATTATACTCATCTTGTTTGCCCCCCAACTTAGCTGCACACTAATCAGGCTCTCAAAGCATAGACTCCTATAGAGCAATCTCCTGTTGCCTATTAAACTGGTCCCATAAGAGTCTATGGGGATCAATTGAGCAAACAAGAATTGGGGAAAGACAGCCCAGCCCAGTAGTTGAGAACACTGTACCAGGGCCATAGCTGTCTGAAACCAGTCAGCATGGAGCTGGGGTGGAGAATGGCGAGTTAGGCCTGATTCACACTAATGTGATTTCAAATGAGACTTGAGTCGCAGAATCTCATGACAATGGAAATCACATTGTTTTCAGTGGTGTTCATTCACATCAATGTGACTCAGCACTGAGTGATTTTGGAAAAGGTTCCTATACTACTTTGGTTGCGATTCCAGCATGATTTTGTCCCCACAGAATATGCAAACCACATCCAAGTAGCATGCAGGTAACACTGCATATTTGTCCTGAGAGTCAGATCAAAATCGGATGGCTGTAGTGTGAACCTAGCACAAGTTAGAGTCTGGTGGGTAGGCAAAATGGGTAAGTATACTGGGTGAATGTACCCTTTACAGCTCAACTGTTGGCACTGCATAGCCAGTCAAACCTCAGCCACATGGTGACATTGTTTATACTCAGTCACTCATGACCTTGGTTTAGAGTAGGGATCTCCAAACTTTCCAAGCAAAGGGCCAGTTTATTGCCAGTGGGAGTAGAAAATGCCCCATTGTTGGATCAATAAGATGAATAGTGCCAAATCATTGGTGCCAGTTGGTGGAATAATGACCCAAAGGACAGGTAAGGGCAAGCAAAGAGCCACATCCGGTCCCCGGGCTGCAGTTTGGAGACCACGAGGTTACAGAGAAGAAAACAGACTGGATCTATATGGATTGTAGATCACATTTTGACAGAATTCTAACCAACCTCCTAAAGAGCAATTTATTGAAAACATGGCATTAGCATAACTGCTGGAAATAACATACTGGCAGTTGTCCCATACGGTCACTGCACTGCCCACCCCAGCTACTTAGAGTACTTACTTATTAGTACACTAGTGCTGAGTACATTGAATTCCCTGTTTACAAGACACTGGACAGGGGCACCTTTTACAGCCAGTATGGGTCAAGACTACAGCACAGCAACTAAGCAGCAATTACGGTACTAAAATCAAATATGGCTGCCACGCATACATGTATACCAGACTGTACTGAAATCATGTTTTTAAAACATGAACAAGCGTTAACAATATTTACATGATGATCTTTTTTAAAGATATAGCTAAAAAAAAAAAAAATCAAAAGACTAAATTTTTCTTTTAAATGTTCAGCACTCTTACATGTGATAGAAACAGTCCTGACTAAAGCACCAATAAGATGTTAGCATCTAAATTTGGCTTTTTCACTCAGTACAAACACTGACAAACAGGGAAGACAGACTTTTATAACAAACTGGTGACAATTTTCAGTTTTGGAAAACCTGACAGCTTTCCTCTTTATAAAATAAGCAATAATTTTATCACTGCAGGCAGCTGATAATGCCGCATGGAAAGAAAAAAAAAAAACCGTGTGACATATGTTACAGCTGACTGAAGGGCAATTATCATGAAAATACTGTAATAACTGTATATAGGTAATACATGCAATAACAGTTTTAAATGGTAGTTTATGAATTCATTTTTTTTCCCTAATTTCCAACATGTCCCTTCAACAGAAGGCAATCAGTGATCGACTTCTGTCGAGTGGGTACAGCCACACATTGATCAAAATGTACCCAGTACCTCCTGAATTGGCCAATTTAAAGAAAAACCCCAGGCAAAAGTTTTATTTTCCCATGCAGTGGGGCTGTGCCCGGTTAACGGATCATTTTTGTCTAGGGCAGTGGTCGGCAAGCTGCGGCTCGCGAGCCACATGCGGCTCTTTACACACTTTAATGCGGCTGTGCCGGGCGCCCACTCCCCTCCCTCCTCTCGGGCGGCAGGGACTCTGCAGCGTGATCCAAAAAAAAAAAAAAAAAACAGCCAGGGCAGCGCGCTCAAATGCAATGATTGGCCAGTCTCGCTGCCACTCACTGATAGTCAGTGATTGGCTGTCAGGATGTGTGTAGGCGGGGCAGCGTGACGAACGTGAGAGGAGCTAGGCTCCTCTCACAGTCCGCCCTGAAGACCGGAACGGCGCGGGAACACGGCGAGAGGAACGCGCGGAGCAAAGGTAAGTGAATTGACACAGGGGGGACTTGGCTTACTACTTGCTACTTACTACTACTATAGGGGGGATGAATTACTATATGGGGGATGAATTACTATATGGGGGATGAATTACTATAGGGGGGGATGAATTACTATAGGGGGGATGAATTACTATATGGGGGATGAATTACTATAAAAACTTATTGAAACTAAAAACAGTGTACCATCCTATGTATTTTCAGTTTTAAAAATGTGGCTCTCAAAATAAATTTCAATCGTGGTTTTGGCGAGATTTGGCTCAGTTGAAAAAAAAAGGTTGCCCACCACTGGTCTAGGGGATTGCACAACAGAGATATACTTACCTAAAACGGCAATCTTCTGAGTGCAAGGCCGGTCCTTGGCTCCCCCTACATGCTAGCAGTCTTTTGAATGGACTGTTCCTGACGTCATCATGCCCATAGACCGGCTTGGGATGTGAGGACAGCAAAAAGTCCACTGCTGCATGTGGGGGAGCATTGTTTTCCAGTGTATCGAAGGATCAGGTAAGTATACAGTTTCCTTGCACCCCTGGGCAAAACAAACAGTTAACCCAACCTTTTTCAACCAGGGTGTCCAGGCACAATGGGGTGCCTTCAGGTTTCTTCAGGGGTGCCTTGGAAAAATGCCCAAAAAATTGTATACTAGCCAGCGGGTGAAGACTGCATTTTAGTTACACAAGCCACAGGTGTTCATTGTGAATCATTAGAACCTTGTAGCAGCTGGTATCATGACAACCAATGATATCATTGGCTGATAGGAAGGACAGCAGGCACCTGCACAGTATCCTAGTTTGCCCCTCCCTTACTATGTCCATCAGCACTGGGGTCACAGTATCTGAGAAAGGGAGAGAAACCGAGGGAAAAGAGAAACACTGGAATACTAGTCAGTACCAGTGTGCAAAGGTGAATTAGCTTTGGAAGAATAAATCACCTCTACCGTTGGGTGTCTTACGTGTGTGGATGTTGCTGCGTTCTGTAAAACTATTCGTTTTTTACATTTTAGAATGGGGCGCCTCAAGATTGCGCACAATTTTAAAGGGTGTCTTGACTGAAAAAAGGTTGAGAAACACTGAGTTCACCCATGCAGTCTGGGCACAGCCCCACTGCATGGGTAAATAAAAATTTTGTCCAGAGTTTTTTCTTTAACGGTCTCTGAACTACAATCTCTAAACAAGGGGCCTGTTCTGGAAATCGGGGAAAGCAAGCATTTAAAGTAACTAAAGTCAAAACTTTTTTTCCCCCTAATGGAATCATTAAGAGCCCTGTCACCTTTTTTTCCCCCATCTGGGTCCCATTGAGAAGACATCCCTTCACTTCCCATAGCCAAAACAGGAAGAAATTAAATCTGTCCAAAGTGAGGGAATCCTGGGGTGAAAAACAAAAACTAATGTCCCCATCACCAAGATTTCCACTCTATTATTGAGCTGGTGTCAACCCAAAATTGGGAATTTTCTTTTACTTTAATTTTCGATGAGAACAATAAACAGGACAAATGGAGAGGGTGAGTCTCCCTAATAGGGGCATATACAGCAATACCAACTGACAGGGGTTCTAACTGCTCTCCATTCTATCCAAAACTAAAAGTTTTGCCTTTAGTTCTACTTTAAGTGTATCAAACAAACAGCAGACCTAAATGTAAATGTGCACTGCTAATGCAACCCACATCTATAAACCAAATAACCATTATTCTTTTAGCTGTGGATAGAATAGGAGAGCAAAACAAGTGGTTACATTCTTTGAATTATTTCTTATTATCGATTATAGAGGATTTCACACATCTGCACCACTGTAAAAAGAAATATCAAAAATATTCAGAACCGTCAGTTGCTGGTTGTCACAATTCGTAGAACATTAGGTGTGCTAACTTCGAGCTGATTTACAATTGAGTATTGGGTGGATGGAATAGAAAATTAGGTCATAAGACTACTATGTAATGTAAGGGCCTGCACAATGAATTCAAACTGAATGGATGGTTTATGTTTGCCCTTATATTACATAGTTTGGGTTAAAAGTGGGCAGCACAATGGCTAAATGGTTAGCGCTCCTGCCTGGAAACACTAGGCTCGTTGGTCCGAATCCAATTCACGGCACCACCTGCCTGGAGTTTGCATGTTTTTCCTGTGCCTGTGTGGGTTTCCTCCCACACTCCAAAGACATGCTGGTAGGTGAATTGGCTCCTGTCTAAATTGTCCCTAGTATGTGCATGTATGAATGTAAGTTAGGGACCTCAGATTGTATGCCCCATGAGGGTTAGGGACCGATGTGAATGTAGTGTATATATATATATATATATATATATATATATTATGTATGTAAAGTGCCGCGTAAATTGACGGCGCTATATAAGTACCTGAAATAAAGAAAAGAATATGATACAGAGAATGTCTATGCTCACACTTTCAGTCGCAGCCCTAATATTGTGATTAAAAAAATCTGTTCATATGCAGTTAGTGTAAGAAATCATTGTAGAGTCACCATTACATTTCCCTTTATACTATTCTTTTTGTTGCAGTCATGCCATGCTATTCAAAATGATCTCTACAATTCCCCACACTGCCCCATCTGCTTGAAGTAGGTGCTGGACCTACTGATTGCAATGGACAATCATGTCACTTCAAAACAAGTAGGAACAGAGAAATTCATATAAGGTGGTTACATTATCTGACAATGCTTAAGTGCCCCTATAACTGGAATCTGATTACAAGACTGACAAAGAAGCAGGTTTTTTTCTGCACATATGAAATAGAATTAGTCAAGAATAACACTGAAATGAAGTAACTAGCCATAGTCAAGCCAATAGCAGTTAAAAGTTCACCTAAAGATGAGACTTTCTACCCATATGTGTAACAGTATATGTTGCACTGATTTTCTCTTGGAAGTTTTAAAGTATATCTAAACCCAAATGCTAAAATGTAATTTATTGCAGCTTAAAATTGACAACACTTCTCTCTAAATATAGTGCATAGAGCAGGGGCGGACTGACCATTTGGAAACTTGGGCACTGCCCTAGGGCCCGGGGTCAGTAGGGGGCCCCATGAGATGCCCCTGGTACCTTTTTGATAGGCTTTTTTGAGTTTGGGCAAAGACACAGGGGCCCCATGATCCCCTATTGCCCGGGGCCCCATGAGTTGTCAGTCCGCCCCTGTCATAGAGTGAGTATGGTCATCCTAGGACAAGAAACGTCATGTGCAGGATCAGCAGAGAAAAATAAAAGGTAAAAAAACATCTGAGAAAGAAAACTAATGTAATCACCTCATCTATGGACTGGTGAGCTGAACTATATAACAATTTTGTCTTTGAGTTTAGACATACAACACCATTAACTGCCCAGTGGGGAGATAAACTAAATATACATTGTTCTCAAGGTTCAAGAACAGATTTGAAATCCCTGGTAAAATCACCGAAAATTTGCATTTGTTCTGAATCCCCCAACTACGTCTTTCATTATTTAGACCAGGTGTCCCCAAAGTTTCAAAAAATAAAATGTCCAGTTTACTGCCCTTCAAACTTGGGGTGCTGGCTTTGGCCAGTGGAAGTACAAAATGCCCTAGCATTGCTGGGAGTAAATAGTGCCATAGGCTTGGTGGTCAGTGGGAGTAAGAAAATGACATCATTGGGAGTATTCGTGCCCCCATCATTGGTGTCAGTGCAAAAATTAGCTCCCCATCTCTGGTGTCAGTGGGAGGAATAGCACCCCATTGTTTGTCAGTTGGAGGAATAGTGCTCAGTCTTTGGTGCCAGTGGAGAGAATAGTGCCTCATGTCAGTGGAAGGAAGAGTGCCCCAAGGGCCAGATAAAGCAAAGTGCCACATCTGGCCAGCAGGCGGCAGTTTGGAGGCCCCTGACAGACTCCAGTGGTATGTTTTCAACATTCCCCACCACAGTGGCTGCTGCAAAGCCGATCAAAACACACTATTCTTTCTAAATTTTCCTCATTTATCTACTGGCAAAAATAAGATCCCTCAATTTAAAACCTGCAATTTTGGAAGTTTGTCACATGGGAAAAAGAAAATCTTTCTGACCACAAAGATCAAAAAAAGTAACCTCTTAAAAACGTTTATATAAATTAGGTCTCAATAGCCACAAAGTATATAAATCCACATTGTGAGCACCAACTGCTTTTGCAAACCCAGATATTTGTTTGTAAAATAGTGGTGACATCATCACTGTCCTTTACATAGCCCGTGCAGAAAGCAGAGCTGTGGGTGGGACCCAGCAGGCACTCCTATTACAGCCTGCCTGTTAAAAAACCTCCAAAAAACTACAGGATGGGGATAAAACACCAGTCATCCTGCACAGGAGAGTGTAGACTTATCCACACTTTATTACAGGACATGATTGTTGCAAAGAGGAAAACTACAGATGCTGGATTATTGCACGGATATGGAAGAAATACAAAAAAGGACACCAAGATTCAAATATGAATACACAGGCCTTTCGTATTCGAATAATATTTGATTAGTCTACATTGCAGCTGAAGTCTAGGCTGGAGAAAAATTCCACTGCTTACTCATTTCTCTAGGGGGCAAAATGTGCTGCTCTTTGCTGCATGACTGGTCCCTGCACTCCAGCACCATGATATACAATCCAGGAGTGCTGTGACCGGTTAGGCAGCAACATTGTACGCAAGGACAACGAGGGTCTGACCACATCCATGGAGCATATTTAAAGTATGGAGGGTAAATCAGAGGAAAGCTTGTCTTCAGCCTGGATTTCAGCTTTAATACAAGTATCTACCTTGTATTTTACATTGAACATACCAATTTCTTTTAACCTTTGTGTGAAATTTTCAGTTAATTTGATTAATTTAGTTGCCTGCCTTTGAATCCTCTTCAATGCTCCTATGCCCTTTGACAGTATGGCACTAGCAACTGGATCAAACATGCTACTTACACTGGCCTTACACGGCTACTTTTAGTCGCAACAACAACTTTAATGAGGTTGCATTTGACACCAGTCATTTTCAACCCGATTATGTAACTGGGTAAGATAAAAAGTTATTGGATGATCCAGTACAATAGTATATACTGACATCCAATCAAAAAGGTAAATATTAGTTCTGACCCCTTATCACAATTAATAACAGAGTATTGGCACACCTGAGTTCCTTCTCTCTGTGAAGTTTCACCATTTGTCAGAAGAGAGTCTGTTAGCTCTGGCTGGTGACAAGAGGCTTCTTGTAGTGCATGCTGATAGCTCAAAGTCATCTGATGAGGACCCTCAATGTGAATGATGCTTTGGGGATCCTCCTCTGCCTCCATGTCACAGAATGTGGGTGGTGGTTGTGGTAGTTCCTCAAAGTTCAGGAGGTTCTCTTCAGGGACATGATGGCAGGCCTCTGTTTCTGAGGGCTTTTGCTCTGTTTGGATGTCCTCATGTGAAGTCATCAAGTTTCCATCTGTCCAGGTAGTTTCTTGGGGCTCATTGTTTTGCCATAGATCTAGCAGGTCTGAAGCTTCTTGTGGTGGCTCTGGATGTGCGTCAGACATCAGGTTGGCCTCCCCTATTTCCATAACTGCTTCATCTTCACACCCCGTCAACTGAGGAGCATCAGGGAAGCCTGCATCCTCATCACGTATCTCCATAAAAACATCTTCTGTGAGCCCCTGTTGAGCCCATGCTCCATCTTGGACAGGTTGGTCTGAATTTAAGGACTTGTTCCAATCTTCACCTAGACTGCTACGACGTTCTTTTTCAGGAGTGCGAGGAGGACCTGCTTCTGAAGAGCTTCTGCCTGCTGCAAGAGTAAGTATGAAGGTGTTATAAGCAAATCAAGCACAAACTAAAATTAATATATATTATTACGCTGCAATTAAGGTAATAACTAATGACTTAAATTGCAAGGAAAACCTCTCTAGGAAAAGGTAAAAGCGCAGATTTTAATTGCAGCAGATTTCCTTTTTGGGAAGCGATCACTTCATTTTCTGCCCTGCTTAAACACACGTTTTGAGGGGTAGACTAAAATCAACAAACACCTGAGAGAAATTCTGTGTGATTGATGGAAGTACCAAAAAGGTACAGGAACAAGAGGGGTGATCAGTATGCAAGATGTTGCCACTCATCGTATGTCCATGGAAACTGACTAGCACACTGGCAGATTGGTGCCAGAATCCCAAGCTTCCCAACCTGAATAAAAGGTAACAAAATGTCCAATCTAATCTGTCACCAATGCACCAAATCTCAAGGATGTACGCACAGGGTGACTTGCTAACTGGGCAAAGACCCTCTGTGGAGGAATGACGAGAGGGCTTACTTTGGAAAGGTATGACTAGCTGTGATACAAAATCTAGCTAACTGAACACACATAGGCAGATACAAATCTTGCGAACAATCCAATCCATCCCAAGGGCTGAGGAGCTGTGAGTGATTACCACACTCTTCCTCAAGCTATCCTACGAGCTAGATTCCAAGTGTCATCTTTTTTCCCCACTGCAACACACCCCATTCATGTCAGACACACTTGGGGTTGCATGCCACCTCCTGAACTTTTGTCAAGTGAATGGTCTGATACACAACCATACAAGCACCTCCCTATCTTGAAAGATCTGACAGCACTAGAGACACTAATCTGCAAGCAATCTGCAGGCACACAATGTAATTTCATACAGAATAACAATGAACCTACTGTATGCAGACACTGCTAACATAATGCACCAATCTCTCTAGGAGATTGAATTTATAGTGTAGCACACACGGTACTTATTGCATTTATAATTTATAACCCTAGGTGGGCTTTGCATTGAAATATGTACAAAGGTAAAAAATACACGTAATAAAATAACACACAAAAACTTGGGCTAACTGCAATGAAAATAAAAAGGGAGAGAAGAAAAAAAAAAAAAAACTTTACCATTATTGAACAGCATGGTTTATCCTGCTAGTGGTAGCACACCGAGAACGTTCCACAGCACAACCTTCTTAAAAACAGGCTTTTTATGCTGCTTAATTAAGGTATGGGTGTGGGCTCGACTTTGGCCAAACATCTTTGAAGGTGTTAAAGTGTTACTAAACCCAGGACCCTGCATTCACTATATCTGGTCCTCCACAGTACCCAGAACATGGAAATGCAATTATTTTAGTAAATATAAAAAAACTACTAAATACCTTTTATCAGCAATTAGAGCAGTCTTGTGAATTCTATTAGTGTCCAGAAGAGTACATGTTAAAGCTGGTAGGAGGAGTTTTCATTCTGCTCTAAGAGGATGCAGAAACCCTGACCTCTGTCTGGACAGTGCTGATTGGCCCTGTGCTGATTACATGCACTCTACTAAGTAAAATAAAAACCTCTCTAACAATCCACACCAAACTGAGCATATGCAGAGTGACTCTACAAGATATGTCTTATCAGGAGATAAGAGGGTGGCACTGGAAGGAGGAGGATCAGAGAAGTCAGGATCAAACCGCGTTTTTACACAATGCAAAGGATTAACTCCTTAGGTTCCACAGGGAGTATAACAAGCATGCTTTACTGCATATACAGACTGATTTTACTGTTGTGGGTTTAGTAACACTTTAACTCAACTGCTTGGGGGTTAAGGTTCTGGCCTTTAAATTATACTGTATGGACCGGCTAGTACTGATGACTGGGTCCGGGTTTGATTATCGACATCAGCACATGAGCCCAGTTGCAATAAGTCCACACATCACATGGCAAGTACAAGCAGGCCCCGTACAACCATTTTAATGGTCCCTAGGGCAGCCAGAACTAGCCATAACTGCACATAGTTTATAATACATACTATCGGATGTAATCATTTTCAACTGTTTGAGATTGATACATTGGATTCTACTGGAGATAAAACATAATGCTTCTGATCTTTAGAAAAATGACAATTGTCTGTAGACAGCTTGGAGTCTAAAGCCTTGTACACACAATGAGAATATCGGAAACGAATGATCCTCTGGGTTTTTTTTCTTACATTCTAGTCTCATCAAAAATGAAGAAGTTACTAAAGTTACAAAAATTCTCATACAACCGATAACTTCTGAAGTGATATATTAAATTGTTTTGTAATGTATTCTTTCGCTTCTGATCATACATGCTCCAGGTGTTCAAATTTGCTTCAGACAAATACTTTACTGATTAAATGAAAATCGCTCGTGCGGACGAAAAAAAAAAAAAAGTTTTCGTGCTTGTCCTTTCTGATAATTTTACATGAACGGTTGTGATTGGCTCTGGAAAGCCAACAATCGCTTCCAAAGCGGTATTTTTCTTCTGATTTTCCGTTTGTGTGTACCAGGCATAAGTATGTACAGCTGTCTTCTCCCCTACTGTGTTTTGTAGCCAACAAGTTTAAAGAATATTTTGAGGATTGGTAAGGTGACAGCTGGTTTTCCCTTATCCATGACCACAAGCCTACAGGACTGGTCAGGATTGTTAGCATGAGATTATTGGTTCCACCAATGCCCAGGCCTCAGCAGCCTTTTCAAACTCAATCTGGACATTTGTCAAAAATAGTTAACCACTGAATTAATAAATATCTGTGAAATAAACTCACTTCTCTCTTTTAATGTCACACTCTTTGTTCCCCGCTGGTATTCTGCTATGTAAGAGAATCTCCTCAACAAGCAACAATGAAATTTCTACTCATTAAAAAAGTGTTGGCTACAGTGCCAACCTAAAAGTCATCATTAAGGAAGCTATCTGGATTACATGGTGACATCACTTATCCAGTGTGCTCCCTTTCATGTATAATAATTAAGGTATGATCTAGGGTTTGCTTAATAAAGGAAATGTTTATGACTGCACAGTGTGTCCAGAAAAAAATAAATAAAAAACAAACAGATAGCTATAGATTCTTGGTAGACCATAAAATGGCATAATGCCAACCAAGATACACACCACCATAAATGCGCACACACATACCTGTCCGAGGAGTCAGCAATGAGACATTAATATCTGTTGAGGCTCTCTCTTGCTGTTTGAAGAATTCCCGTGGGTTCTCTGTACGCTGTGCAATGATGGCAGCGGCTTCCTGTTTGGAAGAAAGCTTTTCAGCATGGTTATACAGTAATATATGGATATATGAATATGGCTGCATACTGTTAGTAGTTAGTTTGTGTATGTATCTTTAAGTACAGTTGTGCTCAAAAGTTTGCATACCCTGACAGAAATCACGACATTATGGCATTGCTATTGAAAATACGACTGACAATGCAAAAAACTATATTATTTAAGGATAGTGATCATATGAAGCCATTTATTATCATAGTAGTTTGGCTCCTTGTTAAATAATAATGCATATAAAGAGTCAATGAATTTGTGTAGCTTTCACATGAATGCACTGAGCTAGATACTTAGGGAGCAGAAAAGAACTTTCAAAAGACCTGCATAACAAGGTAATGGAACTTTAAAAGATGGAAAAAAATATGAAAATATATCCAAAGCCTTGAACATGCCAGTCAATACTGTTCAATCACTTATTAAGAAGTGGAATATTCGGGGACCTCTTGATACCAAGCCAAGGGTCAGTTAGACCAAAGAAAGACTGCAGCCAAAACTGCCAGAAGAATTGTTCAGAATACAAAGGAAAATCCACAGATAACCACAGTAGATATACAGGCTGCTCTGGAAACAAGACAATGTGGTTGCTTCAAGGAGCACAAAGTGACGATATTTGAACAAAAATTAACTGCATGATTGAGCTGCCAGAAAGAAGCCTTTCTGCACCAATGCCACAAAAAAGCCAGCTGAGACAAGTCGAAGAGTTGTCGGGCATATTGCATTGGCGCAGTAAAGGCTTCTTTCTGGCAACTTGACCATGCAGCTCATTTTTGTTCAAGTATTATCGTATTGGCCTCCTTTAAAACAACCACACCATCTTTTTCTAGAGCAGCCTGTATTTCTTCTGAGATTACCTAGGGGTTTTCATTGTACCCCGAACAATTCTTCTGGCATTGTGGCTGCAATCTTTCTTGGTCTACCTAACCTTGGCTTGTTATCAAGAGATCCCCAAATTTTCCACTTTTTAATAAGTGATTGAACAGTACTGATTGGCATATTGAAGGCTTTGGATATCTTTTTATAACCTTTTCCATCTATATAAAGTTCCATTACCTTGTTACGCAGGTCTTTTAGCATTTATTTTCTGCTCCCATGGCTCAGTATCTAGCCTGCTCAGTGCATTCATGTGAGAGCTAACAAACTCATTGACTATTTATACAGAGACACTAATTGCAATTTAATTGGCATTTTAACCTGAGTGTGTCGCCAGGTGTGTCTGTACCAAGGCCAAACATTCCAGGGTATGTAAGCTTTTCATCAGGACCATTTCAGTGATATCTGTTATTATGATTTTAAAAAGGGATCAAACTATGTGATAATAAATGGCTTTGTATGATCACTAGCAAATAAAAGACAGTTTTTTGGCATGATCGGTCATATTTTCAATATCAATGCCAAAATTTCACAATTTCTGCCAGAGTGTGCAAACATTTGGGCACAACTGTATATTGTATTAGAAAACAGTCTGTATTTTTACATTGTAATGACATTTTTTTTTTAAAGTTAAAAGAATATACTTTCTAAACTACCCAAATAGCCCTGATCAAGTTTACATACCCTGGAATGTTTGACCTTGGTACAGATACACAAGGTAACACACACGGATTAAAATGGCAATTAAAAGGATCATTTCACAAATCTGTGGCTTTTTAAATTGCAATTAGTGTCAGTGTATAAATTTTCAATGAGCTCAGTGGATGCACTGAGCAGGCTGGATGCTGAGCTATGGGGAGCAAAAAAGAACTGTCAAAAGACCTGCGTAACAAGTAAATGGAACTTTATAAAGATGGAAAGGGAAATATATAAAGATATCCTAAGCCTTCAATATGCCAGTAAGCACTGTTCAAATCACTTATCAAGAAGTAGAAAATTCAGGGATCTCTTGATACCAAGGTAAGCCAGGTAGGTCAAGATACATTGCTGCCACAACTGGCAGAAGAATTGTTTGAGATACAAAGGAAAAGACAGCATGGTTGTTTCAAAGAGGACATTACGACAATACTTGAACAAAAATAAGCTGCATGGTCAAGTTGCCAGAAAGAAGTCTTTACTGCACAAATGCCACAAAAAAGCCTATTTACAATATGTCCGACAACACCTTGACACGCCTCATTGGGCTAACCAGCATCAAGTGTTTTGGCGTTCATTTATTTCACTGGCCAGAATATGAACTTCTATAGTATAGCAACACACACAGTTTAGCATTCAAGAAATACAGAAAATAAAATGCATAGTAATACATTACTAAGCATTTTATTTTCAGAATTTCTTAGTTGCTAAACTGTATGTATCCTTTGCTAGAACATTTTCCATTTGGACACGTTAAGCCCATGACAGACATACTGCAGTACTTTAAAGTGGGAGCTGATCACGGAAGATTTTTTTTACCTTAATGCAGAGCATGAATTACCATAAAAAAAACAAAACTTTACAACCATTTTAATGAAAATCTTTGTGCATTTTAGGAGCATGGCTTTTAAACCCTGGCTCAACATTTACTTTAAAGCCTGTGTTCAAGACTAGTGTCTTTTTTTTCTTTGACTGAACCCTATTGAACCTGTTTAAATAGACAAACATTAGCTAATCACGGAGCCTGACTACATGCACTGAAATCTGATTGGGTGCTATGGATTACTTCACTTTGCATGTCATTGGCATCTTTAAACTGTCAAACTAGCTGGTAAAGATTTACCTCCACTTCGCTTTCTGTCCTCTTCTGCTCGGCTGCCTCATCCTCGTCTCTCTGGTCCATCTGGCAGGGTATAAACAGACAGTTCTATTAACAATAATAAAGCACTGCTGGTCACATACAAGGGAAGAAAATGGTGAGAAACTCAAAAGACTGACTCACAAATATGGAGTTGCTCTGTAATCGCTTTTTTGCCTCCTCTGCCTCTTCATCTTGAAGCTTCTTTCTGTCAGTAAAACAAACACCGCAATATACAATGGTAAGATAAAATGATCTTCTAAAAGAAGTTCTCAGTGGGCAGTTTTTCTATGGAAAATAGACTGAAAACAAATCACTGCTAATAACATATTATGGTTTCCTAAACAAAACACATACATGTTCACAAAGAAATCTGACATTGTATGATATACAATTACTTAGTTACAGATATAAATTAAATCACACTTCATAGTAATTGTCTTTCCACATAATTTGCATACTTGAAAGAGGGATCAGCTCCATTAAGGAACATATTCCTGAAAGAAAGGTGTATAAAGCTGTTCGGTTTGTTGCCAGAACTATGGTTAATTATCATTTTGAAGTGTCTAATTAGATAAAATATTGAAACAACTTGACTATGGAATTGCAAGTTACTGAAGGACGTCTAACCACCTTTTATAACTGATCCACCGTATTTTACAATACAGGCAACTTCTACCACTTGTGCCTCCTTGATATGGAGATGTATAGCCTAGATATCACAAGTGTTATAACCTGAAAGATGACACAAATATAATATGAAACATACCTTATATACCGATTAGATATTTGTACCTCCTCTGAACCCAGTTCTCCAGTCACCCAATATGAAGATTTGAGTGTCCGATGAGTCTTGGTCAGAAGGCCAGTAAGATGCCATTGAATATGTAATCCATATTCTATGGCTTGTATTGATGTCAAGAGAGCAGTGATAACAGGGTGAATTTTATATTGCATATTAATATTACGTAGGTTTTTTTTTTTATTTTTATTACATTGGGGACAAAATGTCCGCTGTGTAACTTTTTTGTGACAGGTTCTGTTTAATAAGACATCAGGGGTCTATTCAGGGGCGGACTGACAACTCATGGGGCCCCTGGACAATAGGGGATCATGGGGCCCCTGTGTCCTTGCCCAAACTCAAAAAGCCTATGAAAAAAGGTACCAGGGGCATCTCATGGGGCCCTCTACTGACCCCGGGCCCTCGGGCAGTGCCCGAGTTTACAAATGGTCAGTCCGCCCCTGGGTCTATTAGAACCCAAATGTCTCACCTGCTCTCCAATGAAGCCAGCGGAGTGCAGACTGGAAGTGGAAGCGTCGTTTTACATATTGCTTCCAGATTCTTAGCAGGAAGGGGAAAGCAGCAAACAGCCACCAAATGTATGAGATGCGTGTTCGGCAGAAAAAGGGTCTATACATACCAGATGTTGCCTACAATAGCCCTGTACTGGTGCAGTTAAAGCATCCATCTACATGCTCAGACTAGATGAGCAAATGCAAGTTACCTGTGTTCCTCTATTTGCTGTTCTCTTTCCTGGTAGCGCTTCTCTCGCTCTTCTTGCTCTTTTCGCTCCTGTTCCATACGCTCTTGCTCAAAGCGAAGCCTCTCCTCCATTGCTTTCTGTCTCTCTTCCTGCTTCCTTTCCTCTTCCTCTCTCTGACAGGCAGGAGACAGTAGCAGTGATTAGTGACCAGGAAATAACACGAAAATGAACTAACAACAAAATGGAGAACAAGCAGTGGAAATACTTATAACATACAATTTATGCATATTAGTTAATTAAAATGAGCACTGGTACTTTAAAATATTTAATCAATGTTTTACGGACTTGATTCCAGAGCTGATTCTTTTAAAATTTAGAAATACCGTAAATCATCTAACCCTTAAGAATAATGTTTTATTTATAGGGCCCCAAAACTAGCTGTATCAAACTACTGGAAACAAAGGCGTAGGACAGAGGAGGATTTCTCCTAAAATAAGGAGAATCAGCACAAGGGACATATACTAACTATGAGTTGTCCCTTATGCTGATTTATCCCATTCCTGGATTATGGCTGCTACAACCTTTTACTTGTAAAACTGTACCACATACACCTCACTTTAACCAAATTCCATCATGTAAAAGATGAACAAAATGAGTGGAAATGCTTATTTCTCAAAGAAAACCTTTACTTTTCCCCGGGCAGGGCTAACTTAAAACAATGTTTCATTTAAAGTGATTCTACAGGATTCATTTTTTTTCCCTTCAAACAAACATTTCTATACTTACCTGCTGTGTGCATTGGTTTTGCACAGAGCAGCCTGGATCCTCCGCTTCTCGGGTCCCCCACTGGCACTCTTGGCCCCTCCCTCCTGTCGGTTGCCTCCACAGCAAGCAGCTTGCTATGGGGGCACCCGCTGCTCCGTGTGTCCATTCTCACATGGAGCCGCTGCTCGGCCTGCCCCCTTTCTCTTCTCATTGGCTCACTGGCTGTGATTGACAGCAGTGGAAGCCAGTGGCACCCACAGCTGTCTCAACCAATGAGAAGAGGGAGTCCCAGGATAGTCGAGACTCCATTTCACATTGCTGGATTGAGAGGGGGCTTAGGTAACTATTACGAGGGGGGGGGGGGGCATGCAGCACAGAGGTGGTTTATTACCTTCATGAATAGAAGGCATGAAGGTAAAAAACCTTGAGCCTTTACAACCATTTTAATAGTAATAGAATTAATGCAACAATGCAAATTATTTTCCACACAGCCATTCTCCATAATATAAAAGAAAGTAACAGTTCAACAGAGGTTGGGTCCCCTCCCCACAGCAGATGTCCAGACCTGGGAACTCAACTGCAGTGCCCTCAATACTGGAGTAGTATGCAGTATTTACCTAAACTGTGCTGGGAAAAAACTTCCACAACCTCCTCAATGTCTTGATAAGAACAGACGAGGCATTGTAGCGCCACTAACTCGCACATGTTGACACATTGAGCCTGACATTTTAAATGCACCAAGTAATGTAGCCCCATTACAAGAGCCACTAGTTAGCAGGAGCTTAAAACATGCAGGAACTGTCATTACATTTTATATATATCTGCAATGCCAGAGCTGCCCTGTGTGACACAATAGAGGTAATGCTGACAAGTCCTGTAGGAGTATCCAAGTGAATGTACTAGAATATTTATTGAACGGTGTGCAATTTAAACTATAAGGCTCCATGCACTATAAGCTGAAAAAACAGGAAAAAAAAAAAAGCTGGATGAAAAACGCTGATAACAGCATTTATGTGCTGCCTGTAGTAGTGTTTTAGGAGCATTTAGAAGCATTAGTGTTTTATTAGTGTTTTTACAATACATGTAGGGGAGTTTAGGAGCATTCAGCATTTGAAGTTTGAAAACGCTACTAGCCTAAAATAGTGTGCACGGACACATTGGATAACACTATTATTATTATACAGTGTTTATATAGCGCCAAAAAGTTTGCTCAGCGCTGTACAATATAGTGGGGCACAGTACATGAGACAATACAGTAACAAAACAATATACGAGGGGATCGAGGGCCCTGCTCCTTGGAGCTTACAATCTAGGAGGGAGGGAATAGTGGTACAGGAGGAAGTGGCTGTGGGGGATGGAGTGGTAGGAGGAGTGGAGGAGATCGGCTGTTAGGTGAGGGTGGGGTAGGCTTCCCTGAAGAGATGGGTTTTCAGGGTGCGCCTAAAGGTGAGGAGGGTAGGTGACAGTCTGATGGATTGGGATAGTGAGTTCCAGAGGATGGGAGAAGTCCTGCAGTCGGGCGTGGGAGGAGGAGACCAGGGAGCTAGAAAGTAGGAGGTCTTGTGAGGAGCGAAGAGTACAGGTTGGGTGGTATTTGGGTATCAGGTCTGTGAGGTAGTTTGGGGCAGTATTATGAATAGCTTTGTACGTCAATATTAGTAGTTTGAATTTAATGCGTTGGGCAATCGGAAGCCAGTGGAGGGAATGACAGAGGGGGGTGGCGGATACGGAGCGGTTGGTAAGGTGGATGAGTCTGGCCGCTGAGTTCAGGATAAACTGAAGCGGGGATAGTCTATGATGAGGTAAGCCAGTGAGGAGGGAGTTGCAGTAGTCAAGTCGTGAGATAATAACGGAGTGAATGAGTTGTTTAGTAGTGTCTGGGGTTAGGAACGTACGTATTTTGGAGATGCTGTGGAGGTGGAGTCTGCATGAGTTTGCCAGCGATTAGACATGGGGCTGGAAGGACAGATTTGAGTCTAGAGTGACACCTAGGACTTTGGCTTGCGGGGTGGGACTGATGGTGGCATTGTTGGTAGTGATGGAGAGGGTGGGGGGCGCAGGCTGGGGGGAAAAATTAGGAGCTCGGTTTTGGAAAGGTTTAATTTGAGGAAGTGGAGTGACATCCAGTCTGATATGTCGCTCAGTAGGCAGGTGATTTGAGCGGAGACTGAAGGGGTGAGGCGAGGGGTAGAGAGGTAGATTTGCATGCCATTGGCATAGAGGTGGTAGTTAAAGCCGTGGGAATGTATCAGTTGGCCAAGGGAGGAGGTGTAGATGGAGAAGAGAAGGGGCCCGAGGACAGAGCCTTGGGGGACCCCAACAGAGAGGGGGAGGTGGCAGCGTTATAGGTAACACTGAAGGAGCGCTGGGACAGATAGGAGGAGGAGAGCCAGGAGAAAGTGGAGTCTCTGATGCCAAGGGAGTATAGTTTATTAAGGAGGAGGGGGTGGTCAACTATGTCGAAGGCCGCGGAGAGGTCGAGGAGTAGGATGACGGAGTAGTGGCTATTATATACACTATATAATTTCTAGGAGCAGGAAAAAAAAAAAAAAAAAAAAACTTCTTGGAGCTTAGAAAAAACACTAGTGTGCATGAAGCATAACACCAAATGAAGCACACTAATGAAAAGCATTTTCTTTTCCTTTTGGAGAAAGTACAGAAGAGTTAGAATAGTGTTTTTGTTTTTAATTTCTTTTCTGCTGTAGATGTGCTGTACAGAGTTTATATGGCTTATTGGCTTGGCTGGGAGCTAGAGACTAAAGGTCTATTTATACCAGAACTGGTTCTGAATGCGCATTGATTCGTATTTTTATGCATGTTTGCATGCGTTTGCAGTCCATTTTTCCTAAGCGTATGCCTGCTTGCATTTCCTTTGAGGTCACTTTCTCCTTTCCTCTTTCTTTGGTCTTTTATGTGAGCTGCATTAAAGATCACCTTTTGAACAAAAAACAGTAAATGGACATATTTTTGCAGGTAAAAAAAAAATAAGCATTAATCGTTTTTTTTTTCTCAACAGCTTGCAGAGCATTGCACCCGCGATCAGGAGATCACGGGTGAAAGTCAGGCTGCTGCAAACACTGCCTACGGCTTTCTGCCTATACCTCTGTAGGAAGTGTCAATGAACTAGGAGAGTGCTCCCCAGCGCCTTCGCAGTTCAGCTGCAAGCTATTTGCCGTGGTGGAAGACAGGACTTGTAGTTCATTTATTCACAGACTGCTGTGAATGAATGATGCAGCTGTGTGGGCACAGCCTTGCACAACCACGCGTTTTTTAAATTGTAACAGTGCAGGGAGAATTTAGCCTTTACCCACTTAGCAACCGCCTCCTGTACGTTTACTGCTACAGGACAGCCGCTGTGCGCAAAATCACGTCTATATACGTGATTTTGTATTTCCGAGTAGGGTACGCATGCCCCAGCCCACACGGCTGTGTTGTCACTGGCTCAGGCAGGAGCTCATCTGCAGATGCCAACCAATAACTCATGGCTGACACCTGCTGATCGGCGGAGCAGATGACAGGAGAGAGATCTGTATTGGTAAACAATGGCCTGGTTATCACAAGAAAGGGTTTCTTTTTTAAGCAATACACAAATGTGACTTGATAACATTAAGCATATCCATTGTTAACCACTTCCGGATCGGACACTTTTACCCCCTTCCTGACCAGGGCAATTTTCAGCTTTCAGCGCTATCACACTTTAAATGACAATTGCGCAGTCATGCAACACTGTACCCAAATTACATTTTTACCATTTTTTTGAGACAGATAAAGCTTTATTTTGGTGGTATTTATTCACCGCTGGGATTTTTATTTTTTTTGCTATGTAAATGAAAAAGTCCAAAAATTTTGAAAAAAAGTGTTTTTTTTATAACATTTTGCAAATAAATTATATTTCATCATAAATCTTGGCCAAAATTTATTCCGCTATCTTTTTAGTAAAAAAAAACAAATTAGTTTATAACCAAAAATTATAATTTTTAAACTTTTTTTTTAAATTTTTATTTTATTTTTTTATATTATTTTTTATTAATTTATTTTTTTTACATACTGTCACCCTAGCAGTACAGTGTCACCATGGTGACACTGTACTACTTGTGGGGGGTGATGAGGATTTGTTTTTTTTTTTTTTTTTTTACACGGATTGGTTTTACACCCATATAGGATGTAAAAGCAACCATTTCTCTTTCTCATTGAGAAGTACTGAGTGAGCTGTGATTGATCACAGCTTGTCACATGGTACAAGGCTGTTGTGAATAGCCTTGTACCATGTGACCTCTGTGATCATTCACAGATTTCACACGTAGTAAGCAATGATGTCACAAGTGACATCTTGCTTACTACTTTGCATGTGATCACTGATTGACCAATCAGTGATCACATGATCGGGACCTCGTACAGAGGTCCCGTC